GACAAAAACAAAAATCATAATGTGTGAATGAGAAGTATTTTCTAAGAGTTATTTCTTGTTATTTACATTACACCTTGTACTATGAAGATAACATACATTTCACTTATATTAGTTGAGCATTTGTATTTTTGAATCATAACATCTATGATATCAAGGGAAAATTACTGATAAATAAAAAAGGCTTGCATAGCAAGACTATATAGGTGATCTAAAGTGCTTACCACAGAGAGTGTTTTTCTATAGAATCCATCTTTATAAGGTTGCTTATAGTGAAATCCACCAATGGTGAAGTAGAATAAAAGGCCTAAATTGCTTCAGCACAATTCAGCAAGGTTTCATTCCACTTACTGAAGTATACTTTTACCTACAAGCATGTGCCTCTGTTAAGTGATGCACTTATCGCACACCGCATGGGTGAAAAGTGCTTATATTGAAATGTTCCCTCTTTGCTTTCCCAGAGCGCATGAATGAAAAACAAAAGTGAATTCTCTTCCTGAAGGCTAAAATAACCAAGAAACTCTGCTGGATAAAGTTTAGTTTCTCTCTGAAAATGCTTTCCCCAACAATCAGGCTAACTGAAAGAAAGTAAAATATAAAAGGGTCAATTTTGTCAGGTTTTCATTTTTCTTTGGTCTATTTTCAAGATAGACAGCTAAACATCAATTCTAGATGATAGAGGAAGTAGCTGACCTATTCAGAAATGTGTTATTCTTTGCTGCATATGCTAAAAAGAATCTTCATAAGTCATTCTATACGTATATATATATGTTATTTTGAATGGACTCTAAAAGTATCAGCTGCAAGTGATCTGCCAAAAAATAAATCTAAGCCAGGAAGGATTCCACTCTTATCTTGAAGGGATAAGAGTGTTCCTGCTGCTCCTGCTCTGTAGACTTATCATCAATGGACAATCAGAAATACATTATTTTCTATACAATAACAAACATGAGAAGATACTATAAGATACTAGAGAATAGCCTTAATATCCTAGAACATTCATCTTCAAACTTTTTGGATAACATCTATTTAATATTAAATGTTGGATTTGAATCAACACCTCTGTGGAAGAGGATAAAGTGTCAACATTAGTAACAAACAGGTTGTTTTAGTCATTTATTGCTAAGTAACCAGCTATCCTATAACATAGTGGGTTAAAATGATTGATTTCTTTCTTACAATCCTGTGGATTGGCTAGGCTTGTGTTGCACATGATGTCAGTAGACACACACACTAGAATATTCTAGAAGGGTGATTTTTTTTTCTCTTAATGCAAAATAATATTGTAGTAACTCGTTCTGTAACCATTCTTTACTAAAACATTGATTTTATCCTTGCCAAAAAACAAATTGTAAATAAACAGACTATTTGGATTTTCAAACACTATATTAATGAGATAAACTATTTTGATGCCATAGTTTTACCTTAACCAAATCAATCATATATATTGGCAAAGTTTTGAAGTATCTACCCTCAATGCATAAATCCCTACGATTTATGGCCAAATAGGAGCAGAAATTCTACCATGAGAGGACTAATCCCTTGTTGTTTTCCAGAGGGAGGCCATGTGGACACTGGATGAGAACAAAAGGAGTCCAAAAGGATCCTCCAAATGAACAAGGGCTAATCTAGATACCAAATACAACAGATATTTAGCCTCAAGAATTTCATTCAAGGTTTCCATTAGACAGCTTGGGACCTACAGCCTTATAGGAATCTGTCATTTTCCCAAATCATGAATTTGAATCACATAGTTAACAATAGATAAAGGAGTGTTAAAGACTGAGTATAGTTGATTGTCTATCATCTGCTCTCAATTGGGTTTTGTTACTCTCTTCTTTTTATGAATGAACTTTAAAGAAGTAAATTTATATGCTTTACATCAAATGTCAAAAACTGATGACCCATAAGCCAGCTACAACAACAAATGTGTTTAGTGGCTTAAGCACTTTTTTTAAGCAGAATTGACTGCAACTTTTAAAATAACAACACAGTACTTCTCAGAGGCTTATTTTTTAAAGATTAAATGTTGTGACTATATCTTAACATTTTAGCACTGGTTCTACACAAACGTACTACAGAATTGCTCAAGGGAAAACATAACAACCAGGGGCCTCCCTGATGGAGCAAGGAATTAAGCACAGCACAATGAAACTATCCGCAGCCTCTGCAGCACAAGTTTGATCCCTGGCCTGCCAGGGAGCAACCCACATGGTATGGCAGACCTCTCCTGTCTCTCCCCCTGCTCCCCTCAGCAGTGTATTTCAGTCAGTCTGCCTGTTCTGTTCCCCACTCTGTCTCTGGTGAATCCTCCCACCCCACCCCCTGCACCTCTGGCCTGTACCCCAGTTCTCATATGCATAAATAAATAAATATTAAAAAAAGAAAAGAAAAAGAGGGCCTATCTGGTGGCGCAGGCGGTTGAGCGCCATACTGTGAAGCTGACAGCAGCCTCTGCAGCACGGGTTCAATCCCAGGCGGCCTGTGAGAATCCCACATGGCATGGTAGACCTCTCCTGTCTCGCAAAGGGCAAAAAGGAATGCAAAATATGTGGGTTTTTTCGATAGCATAACTATCCTATTTATAGGTCACTACCATCATTATGAAAGCTAAACCAAAATACAAGCATTTGTATGTTTCAAATGGTTCATTTAAATTTCTGGGTGCCCAAACATTCTGAGGGTATCTGTGATGATAGTTTTGGATGATATTAGCATTTGAATAGGTAGATTGAGTAAAGTAGGTTGCTCTCCCCAGTGTAGGTGGACATCATCCCATCTATTGAAGGCCTGAATAGAACAAAAGGAAGAAATAAGAGAGAATTTGCTCTTTTTTGCCTCCATAGCTTTCTTCAAACTATAACATCACAGTCTTCTGCTTTCAGACTCAAACTCATACTATAATTTACAGCACTGGTTCTCCTATTTCTCAGGCCTTTGTACTTGAACTGGAATTATACCATCAGCTCTCCTACCTCTCTAGCTGATCACTACAGATCCTGGGAATTCTCAATTTTCATAACTGTGTAAGTCAATTGCTTACATACATCATACATATCACGTATATGTTTATCCTATTGGTTCTGTTTCTCTGGAAAATCCAGACTAACACAATTTCTTTTTTTTTTTAAATTTATTAATTTATTTCTACAAGCACTGGGTACAGTCAGAAGTGCGGGAGGGTGAGAGAATTCACCAGAGCCAGAGTGGGGAGCAGAGCAGGCAGAAGGACCGAAGTACACTGCTGAGGGGAGCAGCGGGCGGCAGGAGAGGTCTGCGTGCCATGCAAACACAATTTCTTAATGTTAAATATAGTTCCTACTGGCATAAATATAATTTCCATGCTTACCAGAACTGTGTCACCAGTGTAAAATTAAAATTTTTACCTAAGGGACAGTAATAGCAGAAATAACCCTTAAATTGGGCCTCCCTGGTGGCGCAAGGGGTTAAGCACCGCACTATGAAGCAGTCCGCAACCTCTGCAGCACGAGTTCCATCCCTGGCCGGCTAGGGAGCAACCCACATGGCATAGCAGACCTCTCCTGACTCGCACGCTGCTCCCCTCAGCAATTATGCTTCAGTCAGTCTGCCTGTTCTGTTCCCCACTCTGTCTCTAGTGAATCCTCTCACACACACACACACCCGCATCTCTGGCCTGTACCCCAGATCTTGTATGCATGAATAAATAAATCTTAAAAAAAAAAAAAAAAAAAGAATCCTCAAATAGTAGTAATCAGAAGACTTGGATTAAAATTCTAGCTCTAGGGCCTCCCTGGTGGCACAGGCAGTTGAGTGCCACACTGTGAAGCTATCCCAGCCTCTGCAGCGCCTGTTGGATCCCAGCTGGCCAGTGAGAATCCCACATGGCAGGGCAGACCTCTTCTGTCTCTCCCACTGTTCCCCTCAGCAGTGTATTTCGTCAACGTGCCTGTTCTGTTCCCCGCTCTGTCTCTGGTGAATCCTCTCACCCTTTTGCTCATCTCGCCTGCACTCCGGTCCTTGTATATATAAATAAATCTTAAAAAAAAAAAAATTCCAGCTCTACCAGTTATTCTTTAAGACCTGGGACAAGTCAATTTATTTGCACATATCTACTTCTTTATTACTACAGGGCACAATTGGGACTCAATATTTAACATCCAATACTCATGTTTTAGATTTTATAATTTATTATTCTAATTAGAAAGTTTCTCGTAGTCTGATTTGTGAATCTCCAAAACGGTTTCACTAAATTTTGAGGAACAAATGCTATTTTTGATTTTAACTTCCTCAAAGACAGCTCTCTGTAAGTTAATGTTTGTATTAAAAAGGGGCATGATATTTCAAAGTATGTTACTGGGGAGCAGAGCACTGGCATTAGTATATAAGATAAAATTCAAAATCTAATATGAGATTTGAAAAACATAGTCTGGGTAGAGGATCCTGTGAATCTTAGCTTAAATAACCAGGTTTCAGCATTATAAGCTTTGTACTGACTCAAGAGTCATTTGGCTACATGTGATTTTTACACATCTGTCAACTAAATCAGAGCTCCAAATGAAAAATCTGGCACACAGAAACATAATGGGGATTTGTGAGTCCCCCTGGAGAATTTTGGGTCCATAAACCATTGAATAGATTACTATGACACATAAATAGAGTATTTTCATCTGTGACAGATATAATCTTCCTCTGGTTCTCTTTGTGTCATGTTGTAGGAAACTACACTCACTATCTTCAAACCTGCTTTAGAAAATGTAAAAGATGAGCAACAACATTATATATGAGACAAATCTACAGGATAAAAAGAACCAAACCACTTTTGAGAAGACCTAAATCCAGAGTCTGTCAATATCACTAACTTCAATCTTTGAGTTAGTCCTATAACTCCAGTCTTGATGTAAATAGTTTACATTTCAAATCATTTCAACAGGCAAGATTGCATTCATCCACCCAGAAAAGCCTGTAAAATGGTAGACTTCACTAGTAAGGAAACTAAGACTCAATGAAAGTTTGTAGCTTACCTAAATTTGCACAGGTGTTAAAGATGCACCCCCGTCCATATTCAGATGTTCTTTCACTCTTATAAAATCTCTTTAATCCTTAAAATAAGAAAACAGCAACACTTTATTAAGTTTTGGATTTTGTTTACTAATTCAGAAAATGATTATTTATAATTTGTATGGATCAAAACAGGTACATAAAAAAGAAGAACGTACGTGCCACTAGAAAGCAAAGAAAATATTGTAAGAGAAATACCTAATGGTATTATCATAGTTGGAGATACCTTTATCAGAAATGGAGAGATCCAGTGAATAGAAAATCAGTAAGAACACAATTTAACTCAATAACACCATCAATCAACTGGGTATTATTGACATCTATAGACTACTTTATCCAACAGCAGTAAGAATATACACTTTTTCAAGTTCACATAGAATATATACACCAAGATTAACCACATTCTGGGTTATAATAATGCTTTAGCAATTTTAAAAGACATGAAGATTAAACAACATACTTTTAAAGAACATGTGGGTCAAGGAAGAAATCTTAAGAGAAACTCAACAAATTTTTGAACTAAATGAAAATATAATAGAGCTTATTAAAATTAATGGAATGTAGCTAAAGTAATGCTTAGTGAGAAATATGTAGCATTGAAAGCATATATTCGAAAAGAAGAAAGATTTAAAATCAATAATTTAAATTTCTACATTAGAAAACTAGAAAAAGAACAAATCAAATAAAAAATACGCAGAAAAAGGAGCAAGAGACCTGAACAGTGCAGCTGCCAGCTGCCTGTGCTGGGACCTTGTTTGCTTCCAGTATCCATGTGCTACCCTTACCTGACTCAGAACAAGCAGGTAGACTGTATGTGGTTCCAGAGCATCTATAGTCTGAAGAAGTTCTACCGCAAGTTCACAGATGCCTCATGGAGTGTCCCAGATTAGCAAGCCAACAATGACATTCCTCTAAAATACTTGGTAATATCTTATAGTGGTTGTGGGGCTAGAAAATTAAAGTCAACTCTAAAGCTGAAGTTTGGTTCCATTTAGCAAACACCAGCTGGACTGTTGCTGGTCTTCAGAGGTAAGGATAAAACATGAATAGGTAAAAGCTGAGACAAAAGAGAATAAATGCTACCATTAAGTCAAATAGGAGATTGAGTAAACTGAACTCATCTTCTAAAGCAGGCAAAGAATCTCTTCAGGGAATCTGGGCAGCTGCAGTGAGAAATTTAACATAGTCAGGAGACTTGTTTGTTTTGATTGCTATCTCTCTAACATTGGAGTCATCACCAGGATAAGCATTTGGGAAGTGGGTTACAGGTATTGGTTGTAAAGACTTCATAGGCAATTACTATTCTGTCAAACCTTAATTATCCATTTAATGTATTAATTGCAATAAAATTTTAAACTCAATAGACAAAAAAAAAGTAAGCAGAAGAAAAATAATAGGAATTTGAATAGAGATCAATGAGATTGGAAAACAGGAAATCAATACAGAAAATCAAAGAAATCAAAAGCTGGTTTTCTGAAAAGATCAATAAAATTGATAAGCCTTCTAGCCAGGCTAAGAATAAAAGAGAAGACACAATTTACTAATATCAGAAATGGAAGAGGGGACATCACCACAGCTCTAATAGACATTATAGGTATAACAAAATAATACTATGAATGCTATGCCTACAACTTTGACAACTTAGTGAAATGGAACAATGTCTTAAAAGACACAATCTGCCAAAACTCACACAAAAAGAAACAGACAATCTGAATAGGCCTGTATTTATTTAAAAACCTGAATCAATAATAACTTTCCAAAACAGAGGGCACAAGGGCCAAATAAGTTCACTGGTTATAAAAAAAAAAAAAAAAAAAAAAAAAAAAAAAAACTTCCAAACATTTAAGGAAGAAATGATACCAATTCTCTACAATCTCTTTCAGAAGATAGAAACAGAGAAATACTTTCCAACTCATTCTATAAGGGCAGCATTACCCTAATACTAAAACCAACAAAAACATTACAAGAAAAGAAAATTACAAACTAGTATTGCTCATGAACATAGTTGCAAAATCCTCAACAAAATATTAGCAAATTAAACTCAACAATGCATAAAAAAATTATACATAATGAAATGGGATTCATCTAAGGTATGCAATATTAGTTAAACAGTCTAAAATTAATTAGTGTAAATCATCACATCAACAATCTGAATAAGAAAGAGCACATGATCAAAACAATAGATGCAAAAAAAAAAAGCACTTGATAAATCCAATATCCATTCACAATAAAAATTCTAATCTGGGGCCTCCCTGGTGGCGCAGTGGTTGAGCGCTGGGTTGCGAAACTGCCCGCAGCTTCTGCAGTGCTGGTTCAATCCCTGACTGCTCCCCGGCCACCAGAGGAGGGTCCCACATGGCACGCAGCAGCCCTCTCCTGCCTCCCGCTGCTCCCCTCAGCAGTGTACTTCGTTCCTTCTGCCTGCTCTGCTCCCTGCTCTGGCGAATTCTCTCACCCTCCCGTGCTTCTGACTGTATCCAGTGCTTGTATAAATAAATAAATAAATCTTTAAAAAAAAAAATTCTAATCTAACACTAGAGAAGAACTTCCTCAACTTGAAAATTATCTACAAAATACACACAGGTAGCTTCATCTTTAATTGTGAGAAACTCAAGACTTCCCATTAAAATCAAGCACAAGGCAAGAATATCCTCTCTTACCATTCCTTCTCAATAACTTAATGGAAGTCCTTGCAAATGTAATAGTGCAATAAAGAGAAAGAAAAACTATACAAGTTGGGAAGGAAAACATAAAATTGTTTTTATTCATATAATTATCTATGTAGAAAATCTGAAAGAACTGACCAAAAAAATAAACCCTCCTGGAACTAGTAAGTAGGTATAATAAAGTCTCAGGATAAAAAGATAATATGCAAAAGTCAACCAACTGAACAATGAGTAATGCACAAATGGACTTTCAAATTAAAAACACAATACTATTTATATTAGTAGTCCCCTCCAAAATGAAATACTATTTATGAACCTAACAAAATATGTACAAGTGCTATATGAGGAAAACTATGAAACTCAAAGAACTAAGCAAATGGGGAAATAGCCATCTTCATGAGTAAGAAAAATCAATATTGCCAAGATGGCAGTTCTTTCCAATTTGATCCATAGATTCAGTGCAATTTCAATTAAGATTCCCAACAATTTATTTTATGGATATCAACAAACTAATTCTAAAGTTCATATGGAGAGAAAAAAGACCCAGAATGTCAATATAATATTAAAGAACAAAGTTGGAAGAATGACACTATCAAAACATACTATAAAATTACAGCATCAAGGGCCTCCCTGGTGGCCTAGGGGTTAAGACTTAGCCCTACCACCACAAAGGCCCATTGTTACAGCCTGAGTTCAATACCTGGCTAGGGAACTAACCCACCTAGGGCACAGCAGACCTCTCCTGTCTCACCTGCTGCTTCCTTGAGCAGTGTACTTCAGTGGATCTACCTGTTCTGTTCCCCACTCTGCCTCTGATGAATCCTCTCACCCCCCTGTACCTCTGGCCTGCACCTCAGTTCTTCTATGCAAAAATAAATAAATATAATCTTCAAAAAAAAATTCACTTTTTTTTTAAAAAGTTTACAGTATCAAGACAATGTGGAATTGGTGAAATATAGATGAACATATTAATGGAAGAGAATAGAGAGCCTAGAAATATATCCACATAAATATAATCAACTACTCTGACAAAGGAGCAAAGGTAATACAAGGAAACAAAGATAGTGTCTTCAACAAATGGTGCTGGAACAATTGGACATCCACATGCAAAAATGATTAAAGACACACACAATTTCACAAAAATGAAATAAAAATGGATCATAGACCTAAAACTATAAACATTGCTTTGCTCTTACATTATAGTCTAGACTATAGTCAAAACTATAAACAAATACGAAACTATAAAGCTCCTAGAAAAAAAACTAGATGACCTAGGATATGGTGATGGCTTTTTAGATATCAAAAATACCAATGACACAATCCATGAAAGAAATAACTGATAAACCAAACTTCATTAAAATTAAAAATTTCTCCTCTGTGGAAGTCAATATCAAGAGAATTAGAAGACAGTCACAGACAGAAAGATGGATATAATAAAGGGTGGTTGTCATATATATATCATATATAAACTTAAGAATAAGAAAATGAATAATCAATTAAAACATGAGCCAAAGAGCTTAATAGATACCACACCACAGATTGTAAATAAGTATATGAAAAAAATGCTCCATATTATAAGCCATCAGAGAAATGCAAATTAAACAATTAAAATTAAAACAACAATGAGATGCTATTACATTCCTATTAAAATGGTGAAATCCAGAAAATTGACAACACCAAATGCTGACAAGGATATAAAGTAACAGGAATTCTCATTCATTGCCTGTGGGAATGCAAAATGTAATAGCTACTTGGAAGATAGTTTAATGGTTGCTTACAAAACTAAACATACTCTTGGGCCTCCCTGGTGGCACAAGGGGTTAAGCACCTCACTTTGAAGCAATCTGTAGCCTCTGCAGCCTCTGCAGCATGAGTTCGATCCCCGGGCGGTCAGGGAGCAACCCACATGGCACAGCAGACCTCTCCTGACTCGTCCGCTGCTCCCCTCAGCAGTGTATTTCAGTCAGTCTGCCTGTTCTGTTCCCCTCTCTGTCTCTGGTGAATCCTCTCACCCCTCCACATCTCTGGCCTGTAACCCAGCTCTTGTATGCACAAATAATAAATCTTAAAAAAAAAAAAAAGCTAAACATACTCTTACTAGATGATTCAACCATTATGCTCTTTGATATTTACCCAAAGGAGTTGAAATTTTATATCTACACAAAAATCTACACATGAATGTTTATAAGCAGCTTTATTCATAATGGTAAAAACTTGAAAGCAACCAAAATGTCTTTCAGTCAATGAGTAGATAAGGTTTTTTTGGGTTTTTTTTTAAAGATTTTTTATTCATGCATACAAGAACCGGGGTACAGGCCAGATGTGTGGGAGACCAGAGACAGAGCAGGGAGCAGAACAGACACATTGAAATACAC